ACCATTGTAATCCCCCCCCCCCGCTTTCCCATGTAAATAGCCATCTCTCAAGAGTATTTTAGCCTATGCGTAAATTATACAAACATATTATCATGAACTAGACAACACACACACACACACACACACCAATACATACATGCAGTCAGACAAAGACAGCGCTCTCTCTCTCTTTTTTTGAGTGTACAGTTACTTCTTTCTTTCTTTCTCTATCTCCTCCCTCATTTTGTCTTGAGAAAAAAGGAATTAATATTTCTACTACTGATAAAATGATACCACACAATCATGCCTGTACACATTATCCCTCTCCTCCTCCTCCTCCTCCTCCTCTGATATTTTTGTTCCCATTCAATACATCTATTTACCTCCTGTCTCTACTAATCCTCCCCTCCTATCTCACGCAAACACACTATATAAACGTGGATATATAAATTACTACTAAAATTATTACATTAAAAAGGTATATTACTTGTACGAATACGTACGACCGAGTTTTCTGTGTGGTTGGTGTGAGAGGGGGGGGGTGGTATTTGGTTACGGAATAGAACTTTTTAATAAAGTAAAATCAAGTTGTTTGGCAATAACTCTCGATATAGAGCTTCAGTCTGTAATTGTTGATCACTTATTCTTTTAATCATTTATTTCAAATGACAGGCGTTTTGATGGTTATCATTAGCCTTATCTGATTTTGGACTTCACAGAGAGGAAGAGGAACATCAAATTGACAAAAGGTCGAGAGGGGGGAGGAATAGAAGAGTGATTCACAGATGTAAAAGAGACAGACAGACACGAAGGCAGAGAAGAGATAAGATGAGTACTGTGAAGGGGTCGAATATGACATACAGTGGGGTCATGATAGCTTGAACTCAGAAGTCAACTGCCGGTTAATAGACATTTTTGCCTTATGAGTATACGTTGCCCAGGGTGCACCACGTGGAGGTAAGTCTATCGCACGCCCAACTGATTTAAATTCATCGTGGGATTTGATGCCTTATTTCTCAAAGTCAAAAATTTTAAATTGTATGCTCAATACTGCATTGGAGATAAATAATTGCTTCATATTAAATGATGTACAGAGGTAAATGAGATTAATACACGGGAATTTGCTGAAACCACCGCAGCTTTATTTCCCAACCCCTTGGGGTAAGCCGTTATTTGGAGTGCTGATCTTGAACGCCAAGGCAGATTATTATGTGTTTATGGGTTGTGCGATAGACTTACCTCCACGTGGTTCACCCTGGGCAACGTATACTCCTATGGCAAAAAGGTCTATAAATCGGCAATTGACTTCTGACTACC